AGCTTGTTTTGCGCTCTGAACACATTTAATCTGTGAGCCAAGGAGTAGAAATCGCTCTTTTGATCATAAAGGTTGCAGACCCCCCTGCCCTATTGGTTTGTACATGATTAATATTAACATTTAAATATAACATTATAGTCATGTTTATAGGTGGGGTTGTGAAGTACAGACCCCTGAGCTGAAGCTTTTGTCCTCAATGTTTTTTCCCCGACTTTTACTTTTATACTTTTAAAACCAGTGCTTTTACATTTTTACTTAAGTTGATGTCCAAAAAAAGTACTTTTAAATCCTAGTATCTATGTCTACGTGAGTTTCTTGGTCTTCATGATGCCTCTTGCCTACACTCTTAAGTTTTTTTTGTTTTTCTTCCTTTGTCGTTTTATTAATCTGGAGTATTTTGTGTTGGTCCAGTGCTTCTAATCAAAATAAAAATCCTTTGAAATTTCAGGGTGTCAGGCAACAAAACAGAAAGTAAATAATGTAAAGAAATTAAAACGAGATATGGTTTAAATTAAGTTACCAATTGGAGGGAACTTCAGGAAACTGTGAAAAAGCAACACAGATTATCGCCTCTCTGTGTTCTTTAAGGCCAACGTTTTTTCAGACATGTGATGTTTTCTTCCTCTTATGACTAACAAAGCAGTTTATTTAGAAGAGCGTTTCCATGAACACAAACGCTTTTCTAAAGAAACCAACTCAGACAAGATGCAGAGGATTCTCCCCAAACTGAATCAGACCGGGTGACTAATGTTCAAACCAGGCGTCTCTGGTGGCATTTTGTTCTGCTTTTCAGTCTGAAAAATGGGAAATAATTCAAAATCATAGGATTCTAAAAACATCACAAGAGGAACTTACATAAGAAATGTAAAAAGAAACGCTTATTTTTGATTTTAAAACTTGTCTAGTTTGCCAAACGGTTCAGCTGCAGATGTAAAAAGTATTAAGGCCTAGTTTCACTAGCACCATTGTTTGTGGTTTAAGTGTTTTGTGCAAGAACATGTACTGTCTACTTCCTGCTGTAATATAACTGAACTTATTGATTCATGAGGCGCAGTAATGTGAGACAACAACAATCACAGGAGGATAATTCACATTTTCTCTGTCTTCATTAAAGCTAAAAATAAAATGCAACAAAACCCTCAAAATGAAAGCAGTCCATTTAAATAATAATAAAAAAACAACAACATCAGATTTAATTTTATTGCACTGCGTACAGAACATTTAAGATGACCTTCAGGATTTAAGATGATCCATTAAAATTGATCAGACTCACCAGAAATCAGCCTTCCCTCTTTGGTTTTTCTTCTTTCAATATTAAAATCTGATTTCCAATTCCAAACCAAAAACAATAGAATCTGAGCGTGTTGTTCTCACAAGATGCTCGCTTCACATGACGCCAAGCGGACAGAAGACAGCCGGACCAGGCTGAAGTGACCCGCCCTCCCTCCACAGATAAGCTCCCACATAAGAGTGCATTAATGCGCTCCTGAGTGCTTGAAAGGATGCTGGACTGACCCTCCCTGCTCAGAGGAACCCAGCAAACATRCCACAGCAGGCAGATCATCTGACATGATGGCTGCAGCAAACAGCTGATTTACCCTGAGCTGCAGAAGTTATTCAAGTCCTCAACAAGTAAATAAATAAAAAAAACTAATTTGAAACTCACCACTCAGTGTTTGAAACTAGGTAAGCTGTCGAATGAGTGGAAAATCTTTAGTTTTTCAGTCCATGAAGTTGCTGTAGAGCTTCCTGTGTTTCTTATGGCGCCTCTTTGCACTTTCATTTCAGTTTTCTGTCCATCTGTGTGTGTGTGTGTTTCTGGTCCTGTGACTCTGTGTGGTTATGCACAACTTCATGCGTGTTCTTATGTCGGTTTCTTCTCAGAGGAGCACTTCCTTTTTGTGCCTCACAGTTAAATAGGGCACACCGACACAAGCGCCTCCTTGGCAGTACCACAATGGTTTGAAACCATTACATCACTGAAGACAGAGGCTCAAACTCCTGTCTGCCTGCTGCAGCTTCACTGAAGGGTGTGTCTGATCAGTTACTGTAGCAGTACTGACCGTTAAAGTTGGCTCATTCCTGATAATGCCTTTGTACTTGACAGAGCGTGTCTAAACCCTCCAACAGAGAAAGATCTGTTAACATTTTAATCCAGGCTGAACTCTGGATTTTTCAACAACTCGTCAACATTTGATCAAATTAAAGTCAATCCTTGTCTTTCAGTGTCAGAACTTGATAAAAAAGGATCTGGTCTTCAGATGTAGCTCCTGGTGTAAAATCTCCAAACGACTGTGTGATAAACTAAGTCCTCCTCATGGTTCAACCGCTTGTCGATTGTCTCTTTGCAGCAATCTCTCTGAGCTGTGGTTTTGTCTGATTGTATCAGTCTATTAATAATTTGCAGATACTCTTTTTTTTCTTCTTTTTTTACAGCCTGGTTTCAGTTCTTTGAGGTTTATAGATGTTTATTTCTGCTCAGCTCTGAGATCTCATCGGGTTTAGATCTGCATCATTGCATAGATTTATTTTTATTTCTTTTTTCATTCGTCCCATTGTAGATCAGCTACTGTGTTTGGAATCATTGTCTTGTTTTTACCTGGTGTTTGACTTTAGATTTACTTGGTCTACAGATCATATGGTCGACTCAGGTCGTGCGACTGTAAAACAAGCCTAAACCATCACTAGCCCTCCTGTTTGTGCTGACACTGTGTCTGCTTTTCTCCAATAAGAAGTCACATTTGTTCATCTTTCAGACCCATAAGCTTAACATCCTTCTTGCTGAAGGGAATGGHGAGGTTGATAGATCGACATGTAAGGGATGGTATTCTAATGTTATCACCTTTAAGTCCTAAACAACATGCATATCAGGCAGGTCTTTCTACAGAAACAGCCTTACATTGATGTTTTGCGAACAAGGCAGCCTGGCACATGAACAATATGCACTTGGCTGCTTCTTGGACATACAGGGAGCATTTGAAAATGCAATAYTAATAGAGGCCTTCTGCCTGGGTACTGCATGTAACCTACTGCAGAGGGGACTAAACATGGAGTGCAGATGGTGCCGGGAGCAGGAACTTTCTGTCAACCCAAACAAGACAGAATAAAGATGTCCACGCAGCACCAGGAGAGACTCCAGAGCAGCAAAGAGACAAAACTGCTTTTATCGAAGCGATCACATGGATGATGTGAATAAAACCAACACAAGCTGAAAGATGACAAGAACTAAAATCTAAAACTGATTCAGTTTGAAAAGCAGGAAGTCTGAGTTTAAATTAAAATAAAATACACAGAAACAGCAAAGATTATGCAGACTGAACTACAAAGTAATACAAACACCAGAATAAATTAATGTATTTATTAGAAAGCAGAGAATAAATACTTTCTGTCCCTGTCAGGAACCGTTAGGATTCACTGCATTATTTTTTTTGCAGAAAATTAAAAATGTTACATTTATCTGTTAATGTGTGAAAGAGCTGCAAAAGTTACTAAAAACTGAAGGAATGTTAAGTTTTGCTCTCATTCTGATGACTGTTTTTTTAATAACTGAAACAATTTTCTGGTAAAACCGTTCATTTTTTTTCTCCTACCAATTACAGCTTCTGTTTTAATTRAGCAAATCAAAGTCATTAATCCAATAAATTGTGTAGCTGATTCTATAAAAACCAGAGATTCTCTCAGTTTATTTAAAGCCGGTCACAGAGGACCATGGCCACACCGGCTGCYGAGTCGGCGTTCTCGCCGTACGTCACCTGCAGAGGAAACGTCTTCTCCACTTCCTGTCTGAGCACCTCGTTGCGAGCGAGTGCGCTCCCGCACCCTACGATCCTGGAGACCCCCGCCTGGTGCAGAAGCTCTGCGGGCATCATGGAGGAGATGTTGGTCAGGACGCCGCGGCAGAGCGCCCTGAACACGTGACCCAGGGAGAGGTTGGAGGTGGAGATGTTGGTCACATGACCCAGGCGCACAGGGGCGTGTCTCTCCCCCAGGACGGTGGGACTCACCATCAGGTCACTGGTTTCCTGCTGCAGGGCGCAGGTGATCAGCTTCTCATACAAGAAAGAGTCAGTCTGCTCCAAACCTGCAGGAAATATCAAAATATGTCACATTGGGTAAAAAAAAAACTCAAGGCCCACGGGCCAAATGTTGCCCACTTCAGCATTTTATGTCRTCAGCAAAAGCTTTAAAGACACATTAATGTCTTAAAATAAGACTGGAAACTACATCTCGCATAATGCATGWCAATTGTTTCACCTGTGAAATGACAGCATCCAACCACTAGGTGGAGGTGCACAGGGTTAAAAAGTACAACTTTTACAAGGTGCTTTTGCTCTGGCCCAGTTATACTGGGAAGTGGGAATTTCCCATGTACAAGTCATGGGACGTCCCCTCAAATTCTCTGTCAAAGTGGGAAAGTTCAAAATTCAAAATGGCGGCTACTCACCACAACTCAGCAGTGAGTAAAACTCTCTTACTTTTACGTTTAATAGTATTTTTAAATGATTTGTTTCACATTTAGTCAGTTATACTTTCTGTGTTTATGAGAAGACATGTTTAAACAATGTTTCTATGCAGGAAATACCATGTAGAGCTCAGTTATTGTTTATTAGCTGTGCTCAGCTGTAGCAATGAGACMAGGAACGTGATGTTTCAGATTTAGTTCAAGTTAAACTGGCTCTTTGAAGACCACCATGATGCTCATATGTCAACCAAACGGGTGAATCTGTGCAAAACTGAGATGTTTACAAACATCAGAGGCAGCCGGTAAGGGAGCAAACTTATGAAATAATACTGTTCTGAACATTGTTGCTTTTGAGATGATGCTACAGCTAATTCAGTAAATGCTTAGGAGGGTGTGGCCAAAGCATTTCTGGTCAGTAACTCTTGCTCATCGCTCGGTTTACAACAATTTTTAAGACGGTTTGTTTGCTTTTGCTAAATGTAGGGATATGGATAAATTTTTTTATCCCAAACTAACATCGAATCAACATAATGTGTGTTGGAAAACCAGGAAATGATATATAGACAAAGCCCCTCAACGAATGACAGCGAGCGAAATGTGTCAAGTGATGATTATGAGCATCAACACACTTATAAAAAAAATCGGACGAATGTATTTGATCCTATTTTCAATTAAGTGGTTCTTTAAAACGTATTAACAGAAACAAAAAGCTTGAAATTCCAAGAAGTAACGAAACAGGAGCAAATAGGCCAACACTCAGTGCAGCGTTGTGCCATCCAGTCACAGCACGTTAGGAAGAAATAAACTATTTGTTACTTATTGTCTAATTAAAAATATAACATGTAACCATTTTGTTTAGTGTGTATCTATGGCATCGTGAAATAATGAAATTTTTCTTGGTATCAATTACAAAGTTCTGCGGAAAAGAATTGTTTTGGAAGATAGCCATAAGTTGTTTTGAAATTTAATGTACTTTTAATGATGTTGATTGATTTATTCAAGCTGATGATCTTCTAGTCATCAATATATTTACACAACAAACATAAGTAGTGGTGCCCCAGGACCAGCACTTACGAGCAAACACAAAATGCCCTGATGCTGGAGTCTGATACCCTCGTACACCATTTGATGTCATAGTTTTTTTTATTTCTATTGTAAAAATGGTCAGTTCCATTTTTTAAAAGCATCACACAAATTGCAACAAAATGTTACGCCAGTTTTCATGCTGTATGTTTGATTTGATCCAGAGGGGCTGTATGTGTATAAAGGAGAGCTATCATGTTCTAAATAAAAGAAACGTGTTTTTAATGTCATTGTGAAAGATTTAGTAAAGTTCAGTAAGTACTCAGTATCGATGCTCGGGATTGACGAGTACCCACACTGAAGTATTTATACTCAGTTTGAGATAGTCTCGGGACACCCCTAAACATAAGCCTTCTTTACACTGTTCCAGATCTGATTCTGAGTTTTTGTATCACTAYTTTAGGCACAGCATCCTGATAGATGTGACCCATTTAAACTTGTTTGTTCTGTAAAACCTATCTGAGCTGCAGAGCTCCAAGGAGAGCTGGCTTGTGTGTTTGTTTCGATACTAAAATACACACCGAGCTCTCTCGTCCAAGTCTTCAACGTTTCCACGAAAGTGGCGAGCACRTTCCCTCCGTTGAGCGACGCAGCCACTGCCAGGTACGAGGAGCTGAAGTAGGGGAAATAGGAAACAGACGACTCCGGCCGAGGAGAGTCCGGAGGCGTGAAGTCAGCGGGCATGGAGAAGGTCAACTGGGCGGACGTGCTGATGTTAAGGACTGGGAAATTTAAATGAAAAAATATATGTATTTATATACATGGTGTCTTGCAAAAGTATTCATACCCCTTGAGCTTTTCCATATTTTGTCACATTACAACTACAAACATAAGTATACTTCATTGGACAGACCAAGTGGTATACATTTGCGAAGTGGAAAGAAAATTATATATGATTCAAAACATTTTTTAAAAATAAAAAAATGAGGTGTACAGAAGTATTCAGCCGCACTGAGTCAATACTTTGTGGAACCACCTTTTGCTTCAATTAATTAGAGTATGTAGTGACAGCTCAAGCTCAGTCAGATTAGATGGAGAGTGTTTGTGATCAGCAGTTTTCAGATTGGGTTTAGGTCTGGACTGGGCCATTCTAACACATGATTCATGAATATGTTTTGTTTTAAACCATTCCATTGTAGCCCTGGCTTTATGTTTAGTGTTGTTGTCCTGCTGGAAGGTGGACCTCCACCCCAGTCTCAAGGCTTTTTCAGACTCCAACAGGTTTTCCTCCAAGATTGCCGTGTATTTAGCTCTATCTATCTTCCCATCAACTCTGACCATCTCCCCTGTCCCTGCTGAAGAAACGCACCCCCAGAGCATGATGCTGCCACCACCATTTACCACCATATTTGACAGAGTATACCACTTTGTGTTGGTCTTTCACATTAAATTCCAATGAAACATATTAATGTTTGTGGTTTTAATGTGACAATATATGGAAAAGTCCAACGGTTATGGATACTTCTGGAAGTTTCTACAGCTCACTAGCTCTAAGTAGATTTACAGACAATTATCAGTAAGTGTTTTTTATTGTATAATGGCCATCAGCTCTGTCGAATCATTAAATCGTTCCTTCAGCTAACAGAGAGTTGGCTTTAGTGCTGCTGGCAGATGAACAGATAAACATTTAATGCACTGAAAGCATTAACTGTGAAGCCGGCCTCAAAGTGATGCCCGGACTTCCCGCTTCACCTGCATCCGTCGGCGCTCTCATGCAGGAGTAGACGGAGCACTGGAAGTCTCCCAGCGCGGCTGCTACAGGTGTACCAGCAGGAACGCCGTGCCAGGCAGAACACGTCCGACCCGCCAAGCTGCCAGATGGAACGCAGCGAGGAAGCAAGCGCAAAGGGAAGCCGGCAGCCTTCAGACTACAACGTAAACACACACAGAGTAGTTGTTGTGTAAGAGCCCTGTCGCATTATAACGTTTGAGACAACTTATGAAACTGTTATCCAACACTGAAGGTATCTACGCTTAAGATGGAAAAGAAAAAATCTACTGGAATCCTCTWTTGGACGTATGCATACTGTAAATGAGCAAAAGTCATCATAACTTTAAACGTTACAGTGTGACAGAGCCTTAAGATACACAGAGCTTTGATTTGGCAAACTGTTCAGTAGTTTTTAGACTCAAACCACAGGCCTCAGAACAGTTTTAACACATTTGGTCTTTCGTGACATAAACGGTCTCTGAAAACAGGAAACTTGACATGTTTATTGTTTACAAAAAATGAAGACAGACGGTGGTTTTTACCCATCTGACACACAYGCAGGCTGTYAGCAAACATCTCATAAACCACATAAAAAACGTCAATGACACGTCCAGACTAATTACTGGGCTGACATCTACAGCTGATTAACTTTTAGAGTCAGCCTGATTTACCACGGCATCCATTCTGTCTGCCTGTTAGCAAAATATCATGAACCTCTGAACAGATCGTTTGCTATATCTGTCAATACAGGGTGAGTCAAAAGTATCAAGACAGCCTTTTATTTCAATAAGAACAGGGAAAATGAAATATCTAAATACCCCAGCAAATAATGGGTGAGGGAATCGATCCTTTAGACCAGCGGTGCCATGCCGCCCCCCAAACAGCTTTAGCTTATGACCAGGGACCCTCCCCACTTGCAAACCTACAAACAATGCTCCAAAATATATAAAGAAACTTGAACTTTTAGAATGTTTTTCACTATTAATCACTATTTAATAATTATTACATTTGTTTATCATATGAGTTTTATTAACATGCTTTAAACACTATCATGTTCCCACTGAAAAAAACAACTTTTCAACAAACTTGATGGTAACAGAACAAATAAAGTGAAACATTTTAAAGCTCTCTTAAATCAATACAATATTGTAAATTACATTTTAAAATGATTGAAAAACAGATTAGATTTCATGATGAGTTAAAACATTTATTAGATTTAATTTTTGCATTTGTTTTTATTTTCCCTCCAGCTTTCTGAGGCAGCAATCCATTTCTGACAAAAGTCTACTCGTTGAAATGCTACATGACCCCATTCCTATTAGAAACGTTTGAATATGATCCAATATGGCACCTTTCAAGATGGCGGCTATGTTATGGACATAGCCTAAAATAGAAGTCTGCAACCCGTGGCTCTTTGGTCCCTCTGCAGTGGCTCTTTGAAAATGTGACCAAACATAACAGAACATTTTTTTTTACCCACGACAGAAATAAATTTGTATGCAAATATGTGATCAATACTACTAATACAAAAAGTGAAACGTTAGCTCATGCTAGCCTGTTGTTCACTTAAATATTCTAATTTCTTTCTATGATATTTCTCTCAAATCCATCAAATTACCTATAAATAATTTGAAGACTACATAATAAGAAAAAAAAATGCCTGAATAATTCAGTTGTTTTTATGAAATTCGTTATAAACTATAAACAGTATTTTTCTTGTTTAAATGAATGGTCTTTTTATTTTTTCTGATGTGTATAATAATAAATAATATAAAAATATTTTTTAACGTCTCCTCCACTGACTGTAAAGTTTCCCGAAAAGGCCTTGAAAAAGCCCACGGACCACCACTTGATAATCACAGTTGTAGCTTGTTTTGCAGCTCCGGACACATTTTATTAGTGAGCCAAGGAGCACAAAYGGCTCCTTTGATTGTAAAGGTTGCAGACCCCTGRCCTAAAAGATAGGTCCCCTCCCATATGGCTTTGTTTCTGAAATAAAAGGGTGTCCTGAGACTTTTGACTCGCCCTGTATATTGAGCTAAAATCTGCAGTGGTAGTAGCTGAGAGCCTTTCACAACATTTACTCTGAGTGTGACATCTTGCAACATAAGGTTAATTTCAAGGTTTTGCCAACATGGCTGCCACCCGGTCATTAGTTTAAAACTGTGATGGCAGGTGATGAGCRAATGTTTCGAAGACCTACATGTTCTGGTTCCACTGATTGGTCACAGTGTTGAAGAAGCCCCAGCTGGCAGCATTCTGAGGCGTCATCACGCACGTCTCCAAACCACACAGCATGGACACCACGTAGTCCTGGATCGTACCGGCGACCGTGAACTCCTCCAGGAACTCAGGCCTGCAGGGAAACCACACGTGACCTCTCCATTGCCGGAGCAAAATGTTGCCTGAGAGCGGACCGCGGGATAGCGAGAGCCGACCTGCGCCTCGTGTACCAGAGGACTGTTGCGCAGCCGAATCCTGTGGCCACGCTCAGATGAGAGTCTGGTTTGGGAAGGGATGACAGGAAGTCACAGCTGCAGCGTCCATCCTGCCACGTGATCAGCTGACTGGTGTCTCTGGCTGTGAAAAAGTTCCCGCCGGACCAGTTACAACCTGTGACACGAGAGGCACACATGAACAGCTGGCTTCGTGGGTTTACACCTCAGAAACGACAGGGTTTGATGCAGCGGGGATTCAGGACCCACAGCAGCAAATCAGAGCTGAACCCAGACATAACCAGACTGAGGAGCTGTTCCACCAGCAGGGGTCCCCAAAAACCACCTGAGCTGTCACACAAGTCAGGTGGACAAATACACACAGGTGGTATTTTAGAATAATTTGAAGGATCCATAGGTTCTTATGCTTTCTGGTATTTTATTCCAGTCAAGTGAAGCTTTTACTGAAAAAAATAATTACAACTTTTCAGCTGGTGATCGTAAAGGATGTTTTTTTAAATCAAAACTGCAACTTCAAGTTAAATGAACGCTCTCGACGTACAACCCCCRCAGCTATAAAACTCTAGATGCGCCTCTGCTCACCAGGCAGGAAGTAGATTTATTTACCGCTTTTCTCCTTCCACAGCAGAACTCCGTGCATCTGTCCGGTCAGCCCGATGCTGCTGACCCGCTTCAGTTTGCCTCTGGGCAGCTCAGAAACACACCTGTTCACCGCGCTGATTATCCGACCCGTATCCTGCTCTCTAGCCTGCGACGCACACACAAACACACGCGCAGAGACTCAGAAGTGCGTCTTTGTGTTTATATTTCGCATCCAGGTGTGTAGCAGGGTTCAGCAGCACGGAGTCAGCAGCTCACCTTTATCCCGCTGTTGTCGCTTATTTCGGCAGCAGTCGGTAAAGACCGGCTCTCAACGACACTCCTGGAGTCGGCTGCTAACAGGACGGCTTTAACCGAAGTGGTTCCTACATCTATTCCCAGGATAAAGTTAGACATKTCTGCTCTCAGCTAACTGGTGGACTTCATCCTGAAAGCAAAGTCTGCACTGCTACGTTCACGAACATTAAAAAAATCGGATAATCAAGTTTTATGTGAGCGCTGTTACACTGTGRTGATTTAGGCTAAATAAAGACGATTCATTCTTTTTGTGCTTCAGTGGATACGGACAAACAGTTAATGGGATGTTTTGAACAATTTTATTAATATTTTCATTGTCCTTTTGCACATCTATAATAGTACTTTTTTATTTTATTTTTGTTTTTATGTTGCTTTATCACTGTCCTGTTATATATTTAGTTTAAAATCTACTTCTTTGTTTCGTTTTTTTCTACTTTTCATTGTGTTTATTTGTTTCATACTGTAATTTGGCCAATTTACATGCACAATTAGCCGTGTTCATTACTTTTAGTTTTGTTTAAATGTTATCTCTTCATGGTCATTTTATGTGGCAACGTGTCTTTTTAATTTTTTTTTTTCTGTTGCTCATGCTTTATGCCTCAATGTTGAGTTTTTCTCTGTACTTTCCAACTTTTCAGTGTACGTAAACGCATCAAAAAGTCGCTTCCGTTCCAGGCTCCTCCCTTTTACCCAGAATGCACTTGTGTTGGAGCATGGATGACTTTGGTTTATGAGTGTCAGCAGTCTAGTAATGAATGCGCCGTTTCTGTGCTATGTCAGCTGTTATGTCCTAAAGAAACGTTGATATTTAAGGATATGAAGTCACTTTTTTGTGTAATAATATTATAACATTGTCGCGAGGAGCTGATAAAGGTTTTAAATAGGTGAGTTTTTAGTGCTGTTAGCGGTTAGCATGGACAATTAGCTGTGTTAGCATTAGCAGTGATTGAATGTTAAAATAACGCTGTTAAATGCAGTCTGGCTTCATGGTCAAATTATGGTAGCTTTAATAACTCTGTTGTTGTTTGGTGTTTCTAACATTTATGTAAGTATTTGATTTTTTTGTGTGTTTTTATTCTTTAGCTTGATTTAGGCCTAAGCTAAGACCTGTCACTAAAGAGGTCTTCATTCATTGTGGTCGCTTTAGCTCCAACTTGTTGACAAATGACTTGTTTTAAATCATGTTTAAAACCTGGAATGGTTATGTGCAAATTAAAAATCACAACTAAAGTAAGTAGCAAGTAAATTACATTATTTAGCAAAGACGTATGTGATAAAACAAAGGTTTATCAACATAAAGAACATTTGTTTAAAACGTATTTATATTCATATATATTTTATCCTAAWTTTTCATTGAAGTAAAGGTATAATTTCTACTATTTCTAATGAAATTTTTAAGTACATATTCTTAAGTGAATGTTTAAAATGCTTTGTTAGAAAAGTATTAATCAGTAAATTTTTATCAACTATTAAAATTTATAGGGTATTTAGTCATTTTTCAGGTGGAGGGATAACAGTTTGTTCTGACGACTCAAATGATTTTGGGGGTTTACGTCTACTTAAGACCTGAGTTATCAGTCAGTTTAAAAGTTTATCTTAAACCTTCAGAAAAATCAGGCAAAGGTTCATGGATATACAATATGTTAGTTGGTACTTTCTGTAATGTGATTAAAGTGAATTTCCCCTATTCCAACCTGTTGTTAACAAGTTAAAATAGATCACATAAAGAAGAGTCTTCCATGTTTAAAAGAAATCCTTAAGATCAAAGGTTGTGAACATGGCCAAATAACTGTCTGTGTTGCATTATTAATGTAATTATCAGTGCATTAGGACTTGGCTTTATTTTCTACAAGTACTCAGAAATATGAGATTAAACTCTATGTTCTTGACATTGTAAACTTACCACAGGTCTTGGATCTGAACCTGAAGACAAGTGGCTGCAGTAAACCTAAACTATATTGAATTTTTATCACCAAGCTTGTAGTTAATACTTGTTGTTTTGTCCTTTGTTACTGCAGCACACTCCTGTGGACCACGACCAGAGCCAGAGAAGATGGCAGGAGTCGGGGCCAAGCGTGAGGGACCACAGTTCATCAGTGAAGTGTCGGTGAGGGGCAACGCCGCCGTGCTGGACTACTGCCGCACCTCCGTGTCCGCTCTGTCTGGAGCGACAGCCGGCATCCTGGGCTTGACGGGACTCTACGGCTTCGTGTTTTATTTCCTCTCTTCTTTCCTGCTCTCGCTGCTGCTCATCCTCAAGGCCGGGCGGCGGTGGAACAAATGCTTTAAGTCTCGGCGGCTGCTTTTCACCGGAGGCCTTGTCGGGGGGCTTTTCACCTACGTCCTGTTCTGGACATTTTTGTACGGGATGGTGCATGTATACTGAGATGAAGTTACCACAAAACACACAAAACCATTTCGATAAAAAGCTCTTTAGTGCATTAGGTTTGTCTAGTCTGCTGTATGTAGATAGACCTTATTGTGAAAACGTTTCTGTAGTGAGCTGTTGATTTTTAGAGGATTGCTCGTCTTCCCTTATTTCTTGCTCCAAATCTACCATTTGTTACGAACTCTTATCATGTAACTCTAGTTCTATTCTTGGTGACATCCATGCCAAGGCTTTAGCCACAATTATTAATTTAATAACAGTAAAATGCGAAATCAATTTCATGTGTAATATGATAGCAGCTGTGAATAAACATGTCTTTACAATCTGTTTTCATGGATCATTTGTGTCCGTCAAATCAACATGACAAATGTGTTTTAAAGAATTAAGTACATTTAATAAATAAAGAGACAGATTTAAAACAAAAGTAAGTTCTTGAACCACAAAATACATTTAACACTCAGGAAAAACCCCACTTGATCACAGTAGATAAGTTTCACTCAGTCAACTGTAAATATGCTTGTGGCTCCTGCATGTCATGCATTTTCCCACTAAAAATGTATTTATATACAGAGTTTGTGTAGAATTAACCCCTTATGATGCCTCATTAATAAAATGTCCTTATTGGGACTTTTTCACATTTAGTCATATTTTAGTGTTTAAGATTTGTGAATATTTGCTTTTATTTTTTAAATCTCTATGTTTTTTATACTTTATTGGCTTTAACTTAAGTAGGAAAACAACGTTTGAGACTTCTGTTAGACAGATTAAAAGCTGTGCTTATTTAATGTCAATCCAACCAAGCTGATAGTTTGGCATTTTTTTTATGACAAATATGAAACCATGTTTCTTTTCAGCAGTTTTATGAGGAATGGTGGATCTGCTGTCTCCACCTGTCTACAGGTGCAGCCAAAACAATTAGACTATTGTGAAAAAATTGTTTTTTCTTGTCAATCCAGAAAGTGAAACTTATATAGTTTCAGCWCACAGTGAAATATTTCAAGCCTTTATTTCTTGTAATTTTGCTAATGGGTTACAAATCAAAATCCAGTGTCTTAGAAAATYAGAATACTGCAGCCAGCTTCTGGCAGTTTGAGCCAGAGCTCATTTCTTTTGAACTAGATGGACCAGAAATGTCTCATTGTTCAAGCGAAGCCTCTCCTGAAGCAGAGACTTCATAGGTGTCTTACCTGGACCCAGGAGACAAGATCCTCTTTTTCAGATGAAAGTCATGTTTGCATTTTGTCTGGAAATACAGAGTCTGGAGGACTCCGTATAACTGTTCTTTTTTAAATTTCCATTGTCCAGATAAAAGTTTGGAACTMATTATTGTATTCTTTTATTATTTTTGATTTTAAAAATGTAAAGGTTGGGCTCATCTTTGGGAGAAGTGGGGAGTAGTGGGAGATGGGCGGGGCTGAGGGAGAGTCTCAGGTTGGCTTGAACAAGAAAGGGGGTGGGGGGTCTGCACTGGCCTAGTGCATCCCACATTTTTCATCATTAACATTTTTATATAACATTATGGCCTTAAAAATGTTTTTGGGGAGGTAGAGGTGTGCACTATAGACCCCTGTGGTGCAACCTGAGTTTTTGTCTTACATTCACTTTTAAAAACCATTTTTACATATTTACTTGAGTAAAAAGCTTGAGTTGATACTTCTACTTCTACTGAAGCCTTTTAAAAACATACTTCTGAGTAATATTTGGACACTTCTGTTGATTTTTACCAAAAGCTGCCAATGTAATATTCAAATTACATGAGACACAAACCTTTTTTTTAAATTATTTATAAGCCATAATTATCAAAATTACAAGAAATAAATTCGTGATATATTTCACTCTACATGTAATGAATTTATAACGAGTTTCACTTTCTGAACTGACAACATTCTTTTGTTGCGCAGCACCTGAACACATCAGTTCCCTGGTCCTTTCAGAGCTGAGCTGTTCTCCAGGTGAAGCCAGGTTCAGTCTCCACCTCCTTCAGTGTAAACACACACCTGTCTCCCATCTTGCTGTGAAACCTAGTTCTATGTGGAGAAGGTGATGTGAGGTTTTGGTGCCGTCGCGCCTGGTTTGGCCCGAACAGAAGAGTATCTCTGGCCTGTGTTGCGTGGAATGGTGAGACCCCGGTTCTCTTCAGGAGGCAGAGGATGTTCCACGGTGACTTCTGTCTCCTCTTGTTGTTTGATGGAGTTGGCGGCGTCTTTCTCTGCTCCGGGTTTCCTGGACCTCTTGTCCCGCTGTCCTGTTTTCCCATCTTTTGGTTTGCTGCGTTCCTTTCTGCAACACAGAATCAAAGAGTTGAGCATGTGAAAAAAAAGGCTTACTAGTCAAATAAAAATGTGCATGCAATGATTCATACTTGAAGTTGATTATTTCAAATTTCCTCTCTCGGTAGAAGGAGCTAGTGTTCATCATGTACAGTAAAATCATGTCGCAGACAAAAGCCCCCTGAAAAAAAAAAAACAGAAAATGTGGTGACTTGATAATCAAATATCTGCCGGAAAACTAATAAAAATGGTAAATAAACGACTTACTATACCAATCAGAGCAACACCAGAGCCAATAGCTATTATTGTAGGAACAATATTGAATTTCCCAGCCTGTAAAACATTAACAAGACATTTACTGGGATCAGTTGAATCTTATAAAAAGTGCTCGCCTCTGCTTTACCTGGCCATTGATCATTATATCAAAACGGATCCCGTACACTTTGTACAGCGTGCGAAAGGTTTCCCCATTTTTATCCTTGTAGTACCTGGCATACCTGTAGGAGGATAGCTCACTTAATGAAAGATGGAGGGTCAGAGTGGAGGCAGAGGCCTGAGGGGTTTCACAGACAGACCTGAAGTTGTATCCTGATGTAACTGAATTATTTAGGTCCGTGTCCAAACGTGTGAAGCTGTACTGAGGATTACACTCAGAGGAGTCCCTATCAAGGTCACAGTACCACTCGATGAGGACACCAACAGAGCCGCCCTGATCCACACAGACACCAAAATCACAAAAACATACAACACATCAAACTCAAGGCCCACGGGCCAAATGTGACCCGCCACTGCAGTTTATGTGGCTCACAAGAGCTTCAAAAATGTGTTAATACAGAGATCTTCAAGGATGGGGCTACGGTACTGCAGCAGAGACGTTGAATGCTTTTAAATTATTTTAAAACATTTTTTTCTAGTTTATTTCTTTAAACACATACGACCATGAATCGAACATGTAGCAAATTAATAAATTGAGACACAAAATAATGAACATACACGCAGTGAGAACACCAGCTGAACTCTGCTTCGCTGACAACCTGACCCTCCATGAGTTATCAG